ACACAGAATAAATCAATATAAAATTATGCATTACACATGATAAATAAATATAAAAATATGTAGTACGGTATAAATAAATATAAAAATATGTAGTACGGTATAAATAAATATAAAAATATGTAATACGGTGTAAATAAATATAAAAATATGTAATATGGTATAAATAAATATAAAAATATGTATCACGATATAAATAAATATAAAAATACATACTACGGTATAAATAAATATAAAAATAAGTAACACGGTATAAATAAATACAAAAATATGTGACGCAGAATCAACGAACAGAAAAATACGTAGTGCGTAATAAATAAATGGATTTATTGCAAATTCCTCGGAATCTATCGTTCGAGTCGACCGTCAAATATCTTTTCATGAACAAAGAGCGAACCGGCGGACTCTTTCGTGAAGCCGTCCGAGCAGAAACGTCGAAGTTGCCCGAGGAAACCCGTAGATCACGGCTGCGCGGCGCGGTGCGGCGGCGGTGGAAGGTGAAATAGAGGACAGCCGGTGAAATTTCAACTGCGGACACCGTGTTGCCGCTGGCCGCAACATCGCCCGCGCGGCGCGGCGCGGCGCGGCGTGCAAGGCGCATCAACCTTACCGGTGCAACGATGCACGGCCGCTGTCCACAAATCATCACATCTGTTGCTGCGGTTTTCGGAATGCGAGAGGTGTCCTCCGCGGGGGCCGCTTCAAATTAGATCGCGACGTCAGCCGTGTAACAAATTGACGGCCGGAAAATCAAATGGGATTTATGGGTTTACGATCGGCCGAGCCCGCGCGATCCCTTGCGGCTCCCCCTTCCCCTACCGGCCAATCAGAATCTCCGGCCCGTTCTGCATTTATCTAATGCGCTTCTAACCCGATAAAAGTCGCGCCGTTCTCGTTCAATCGCTCCGAGACGCTCGCGTTCTATATTTGTATTTTTCTATATTTTAAATATTATTCTTTTTTGGCTTTCGTTTAAACATGTATTTTATATCTTGATATTTTTATGTACTATTTCTATTTTTCTATTAGAAATTGAAAATATAGCTTATAAAATATAATAATCTAATAATGTAATAATATAATAATATAATAATACAATAATATAATAATATAATAATATAACAATACAACAATACAACAATATAACAATATAATAATATAATAATATAACAATATAATAACATAACAATAATATATTAAAACCACTAAATGAGTTCAAACAAAATTCCAATCTCCAAATATTTCTGCACAAAAAGGAACAAAAACAGAAAGCACACAAATATAACGTTTTAAAAAACCAACCAAAAAAATATACACTAATTTGTTCCCTTTCAATCGCGCGTCCAAGAAACTTTCTACAGTTCCAATTCAATTGGGACACCCAACACATCGAGTCAGGAATTAGATCTAGATATTAATTCCAAGTTAGGTCAGCGTTAGGCCAAGGTTGTCACTGCAGTTTTTCTTCTCGAACATCTCGTGACAAACGCGCACCGACGTTTCTCGCGAAGCGGGGGAGGGGGGGGGGGGGTTAGAGAAAAAAAGTCGTTCGCGAACGTCGGTCTAACACATTTAAATATCAACGAGAGACTCCATCACGAGGAATCAACAAAATCCCCTCCACCGCCGCGCGAAAGTTTACAGATAAACAGAATTCCGTTGCACTTCAGAATGCGCGCCGCGTTACCATAACGAACCTAATTCCGCCGCGTCGTAGCTCGATCAATTATGGAACAATCGCGTGCAAGAAGTTTTCGCGGCCTGTGCTGGAACACGGACGCGAAGGGTGGTGGAGAGGGAGGGGAGAGGGAACTTCGCTGTTAGTTAGCTATGTAAATACGATCTTGAGCTCTGCGATACATACATACATACATACATACATACATACGTACGTATACACGTGCGTACATAAGTTAAAGGAACGCGCGGGAATCGTCGCGCAAAGCAGCCGGTAATAGGCGTGAACTGAACGCGACCGGGTAACAAGGAGAAGGAATAACAATAAACACGAAGTATACTCGTGGGTCGCGAAACGTTCGGACGCGTCGGGACGCTCTTAGGATGGAAGTTGCTGATTTAAGTGCTCGGGAATAGAGGCCGCTGAAAGCCTGGCCGTTATAACCCGGCCATTACAGGATTACTTTCAGCTATTTTCGAACATTCTGCGCGCGGTCGGCCGACCGGAGAATAATTAATTATCGGCCAGTATTAAAATACCGGAGAGCTTCGGGCCCGTGGATTTCTCAAGATAACGGACGGCGTTGTTAAAAGTGTGAAGCCGCGAGCTAACCAATATTGGAAGCCGTGGGCTTTTTCATCTTCCCTCTCTCTCTCTCTCTCTCTCTCTCTCTCTCTCTCTCTCTCTCGCTAACTCTCTGTTTCTCTAACNCTCTCTCTCTCTCACGCTAACTCTCTGTTTCTCTAACCTTCTCCCACTCTCTCTCTCTCTCCCTCTCTCTCTCTCTCTCGCTAATTCTGTTTCTCTCTCTCTCCTTCTCTCTCGTTAAATCTGTTTCTCTCTCTCTCTCTCTCTTTCGCTAATTCTGTTTCTCTGTTTCTCTCTCTCTCTCTCTAATTCTGTTTCTCTCTCTCTCTCTCTCGCTAACTCTTTAATTTTCTGGCCTCTCACTCTCTCTCTCTCTCTCTTTCTCTCTCTCTCTCTCTCTCTCTTTCGCTAACTCTTTGTTTCTCTAGTCTTCTCTCTCTCTCTTTCTCTCTCTCTCTCGCTAATTCTCTGTTTCTCTCTCTCTCGCTCTTTCTCTCTCGCTAATTCTCTGTTTCTCTCTCTCTCCCTCTCTCGCTAATTCTCTGTTTCTCTCTCTCTCTCTCTCTCTCGCTAACTCTCTGTTTTCTCTTCTCTCTCTCTCTCTCTCTCTCTCTCTCTCTCTCTCTCTCAGTCGTAATCTGTCTATCGCGCAGTTTCTCCCGCCTTCTCCCTGCTTTGTCACGTTGCGCTGCTACTTCTAAAATTACTCGGCAGCTAATTGTACTAACTGGGAGCTCGACTAATTGGAATGCACAATATTTATCTGAGCGACTCCTCCACGTTCATTCTTCGCGGAATCTTTCACGCATTTTCCTATTCTGGAAATCTGGATTCTGAATACCGAAAATACATGGTGCCTATTTTTAATAACAGCCTGCTAAACAATTGTGAACGTCTGTTTTTAAT